GTAACACGTTTATACAATAACCTGATGCAACGCTATAACACGGTACCACGTTTATACAATAACCTGATGCAACGCTATAACACGGTACCACGTTTATACAATAACCTGATGCAACGCTATAACACGGTACCGCGTTTATACAATAACCTGATGCAACGCTATAAACACGGTACCACGTTCGTGCAATAACCTGATGCAGCGCTATAACACGGTACCGCGTTTATACAATAACCTGAGGGAACGCTATAACACGGTACCACGTTCATACAATAACCTGATGCAACGCTATAACACGGTACCACGTTCGTACAATAACCTGATGCAACGCTATAACACGGTACCACGTTTATACAATAACCTGAGGGAACGCTATAACACGGTACCACGTTCATACAATAACCTGATGCAACGCTATAACACGGTACGCGTTCGTACAATAACCTGATGCAACGCTATAACACGGTACCACGTTCGTACAATAACCTGATGCAACGCTATAACACGGTACCACGTTCGTGCAATAACCTGAGGGAACGCTATAACACGGTACCACGTCGTACAATAACCTGATGCAACGCTATAACACGGTACCACGTTCGTACAATAACCTGAGGGAACGCTATAACACAAGGCTATGTTCATGTAATAATATAATGCAACGCCATATCACGAGACCATAAATTATGCATAACGAAACTGCTTTCGTTTTGTTTAAGTTGTATTTTGTTTCTATCACTTGATACCCACAAGTATTATCAGTAAGCAGGGATCCAACAGTATAATAATAATATTTACTATACATATACATACGTCCATGAGCTTTGATTAATTTTTATTTCGTGAACAAATATTTCAAGCATTGATCCGCGTATATATACTTTGTTCGGATTCAGGTGTGCCCTAGTGGTTTACCTGCCCAGACTGGGAATCCGAGGATTTACGGCTCACAGTCCACACTTTGTATCAGTGTTTACGGTATAAGAGTAGTAGTCAGTGCCCACTATTTTGTGAGGTGGGAGTAGTCCAAGAGTTTTAGCTTCCATCTTTCTCTGGTACATAAGATCAAAGCTAGAAACGGATGTGCGGGGATTAACACTTTGTTAGTTTTGCGCAAAAATTCTGACACAAACAAACAAAAAGTTCGAATTTTAGTGACTCCAAACTTCAAACTATAAATTTCCCCCTCGTAAACAAGTTTATATTAGGAATCCTGGCACACAGATCGCGAGACAGAATGCAGCGAAAGCACGCGCATCTCCTTGTGTTCTATAATTATTCCTTACGTAATGATGACTATTAGGTAGGAACTGAATCAAACCATGTTGTTGATGGACATGGAGCGCAATGTAAGATAAAGACCGTTATTGTTATATAGGTATTAATAAACACGATTGACCGAAATAACACAAGTTTTTACTGATTTAGTATAATAGCTCGATCTGATTTTTATACTTTTTTAAGAATTTGGTTTCTTTGTTTTGTTTCGCTTTGTTTTGATATTCACATAATTGAATATGTGAGTCAAGCTCAACAGGGTCTTCTTTCCACGCTGATTTTTCCAAGCCCGTTCCCTTGGCTGTGGTTTCGCTAGATAGTAGATAGGGACAGTGGAAATCTCGTTAATCCCGGTTAATTTTTCCAAGCCCGTTCCCTTGGCTGTGGTTTCGCTAGATAGTAGATAGGGACAGTGGGAATCTCGTTAATCCATTCATTGTCATTGTTGGTTGGTTGGTTGGCGTATTTTGGAGCAAATCAACTAAGCTATATGCAACTGATATAATTGTACAAGAGGTTTTCTGGTTTGGCCAAGAGCTTCAGCTCTCTTGATTTGTATTGTACCGGTACAACCACTAAGCCTAGATATGTTTAAAGATAGGCTTACGTAATAAAAGGTGTTTCCTTGTTTGTCCAAGGGCATCAGTTTTCCTGATTTACGTATTGTACCGGTGCAACCACTAAGCCTAGATATGTTTAAAGATAGGCTTACGTAATAAAAGGTGTTTCCTTGTTTGTCCAAGGGCAC